GTGCACGAGCGCGTGTGTGTGTGTGTGTGTGTGTGTGTGTGTGTGCGGGCTTGTGTTTGTCTAAAAACAAAAGGAAAATGCTGATTTCAATTATGAAACAAAAGTAAATTGAATACTGTATTATTTTACAGTGACAGGGGGGGAAGCAGACTTTTAAGCATGATTATATTAGTCTACTTAACCTTATATCTGTTTTATAAAACCAAGGAAAAACATTCTGAATGTTTAAAGATGTAAAACCAGAATACATTTTTTTTAAAGTGTTTTAAATCACTGAGTTTTATTTTTGAAATCAGGTTGGTTTAAATATAAAAAAATCAACTGATTTAAATTGACCTGATTTAAATCAACCCAACCCTGATTTCAATTACGAAAAAAAAGGAAATTGAATACTGTTTTATTTTACAGTGACAGAGGGGAAAGCAGTCTTTTAAGCATGATTATATTAGTCCACTAAACCTTATATCTGTTTCATAAAGCCAAGGAAAGGAATTCTGAATGTTTAAATATGTAAAAACTAAATACATTTTTAAAAAGTGATTTAAATCTCTGATTTTTATTTTAAAAATCAAGTTGATTAAAATTTTAAAAATCGAGTGATTTAAATCAACCCAGCTCTCATTTCAATTATGGAAAAAAAAGTAAATTGAATTCTGTATTATTTTACAGTGAAAGTGGGGAAAGCAGACTTTTAAGCATGATTATATTAGGTCTAGTCTACTAAACCTGATATCTGTTTTATAAAACCAAGGAAAGGAATTGTGAAAGTTGAAATATGTTAAAAACTGAATAAATATAAATTTTTTTAAAGTGATTTAAATCACTGATTTTTATTTTAAAAATCAAGTTGATTTAAATTTTAAAAATCAACTGATTTAAATCGACCTGATTTAAATCAACCCAACCCTGCCACTAGAGGCTGCCTTCCTGTACAAAAACAAACAGGGGCCTTCTACTTATTATGTTTCAGGTAATTTGTCTCACGGAAAAAAAGAAGAAAATTGAAGCGTAATTTTTACTCACTTTTCATGTTAAATGTGTTATTTACATCACAGCTTTCTCTTCCGATTTCGAATACACAATATGAAATCTTTCGAACAGGAAAACGCAAAGTACACATGTACACCTTTTTTTCAGGGACAGGACCGTTTTATTCAGCGGTACAAACAGATAACAACAAATCAATCGTGTACAAATCATTACAAAAAAAGGAAAGTTGTCATGTTCATAATCATAGGACGCTAACTTTTAACACTCGGTGTAAAACGCCGCTTTTGATAAAGCAAAGGAACATGTATGCCATCGTTGTCGCAAAGTGACAGATTTGTTCCCAAAACCTGGTGCTGTGTATGGTGGTGTGGACAGGAATGTCCACAATATATACACACAAAGCAAACTCTTCTAATCCCCATTGACCGATTCCGCTCCCCTCCTTATTCTTCCCCTTCTCCTCGTCCTTCCTCTCCCCCTCCTTCTCCTTTCTTCTTCTTCTTCTTCTTCTTCTTCTTCTTCTTCTTCTTTTTCTTCTTCTTCTTCTTCTTCTTCTTCTTCTTTTTCTTCTTCTTCTTCTTCTTCTTCTTCTTCTTCTTCTTCTTCTTCTTCTTCTTCTATCCTTAAGTACATGCAGCTTTCATCAAAAGAACCTCATGAAAATGTTCCCCATCAAACAATATAATCTTCTGACAAGGCAAATCACATTATTGAGATAATAGCAGGACAATAAGGAAATCACATCGTGACAACGTTTTTACAAAGGACACAATTATTGTTTCCACTGTCTTTTGTGTAACAACTGGGTTGCATTTCAATTTGTTTGTTTTTGTGCAAAACTTACAGATTGCAAGGATTAGGCCACCAATTGTTTCCTGATCTTTGGTGGCAGTGTTAGAAATTTAGTTTTTAAAAAGGGTCTCTTCACACAATCAGAACCCAGTAAAACAGTTACTCCTCCGAAAAAGGATTTTGGGGTGAAGGGGAGAACCTAGCCTCTGCCGAGCTCGTGACACCTTGACTGGTCGTGACCTCAGGAATAGTTGGAGCCTCAGAGGAAGCTCTGGTCCCTGAAAAGGATCTGGCCCTTGAGTAGGAGAAACTACCAGTCCGGGTCACATCTGGGGCTGTGTAATTCATCGGACTGGTTGGGTTGTGCAGCTCTCGGGCAGATGAAGGAGAAGTTGAACGAAGAAGGGGTATGGTCTCCTCCTGTAGTATGACGTAACCACGGACAGACTCACCTTCGGTGTCATGGACACCAGTGACATAGATGGCACAGGCGTAAGTGACAAGCGCCAGTAACGCCAGAGGGAATCCTGCCCACATGCCAATCTGAAAGTCATAAAGTTTAATCAGATGGCAGACATAATGAATATGTTGAATTAGATGGAAGTAAAAAAGCATAATCAAATCTAAGTTCCTTGTCTGTCAATTCCCTACACACTTTTGGGTTAAAGTCTATTCTAGCCCTCCATTCGTAACTGATTTGAATTCCTTCCGCACATCCAGCATCTCCACTCTAGATGTGGGGATGGGGTAGACGTGACGTCATGCACAAAAGACGAATTTAACTTACTTTTTAAAATTAATGGTTGGGGGGGGGGGGCCTGAAATTGACCTTTATCGACTTTTGGACAAGCTATTTACATTTAGTATTCAAGAATAAAATATCCAAACAGAATTTATGAAAGTAGGGCCTACATGTACAGATCTGTCCTAATATCAGAATATCTATGAACTATCCTCACGTAAAGCCTGCTCGAGAAGGCACAATAACATAATATGTTTGTGTTTGGGTCAATTTCTTTCTTCATAAAAGGAAGAGCAGATAAATTCCTCACTGACTACATTGCAATTCTAAATATGTGCCATTACGAAATCCTTAAATGTAAGGTGAGTCAGCAAATAGAACTCGCTTTCTGTCAGCAAAAATTAATGTTACTGTTTTATGAATGTGTGCTCAACGAAAAGTTTAACGTATGCATTTACTGTGCACGTGTTTCTAACAGGTGTTGTTGTATGCATTTAAAGTACATATGAGTGAAATGTACATAGTCATTGAATGTGGTAGTGCATGAGTAATGGATAATGTCTAATCTAATATCCAACGGGTACATATTGACAGGGGGGAAAGCAAAGACTAACAGGAACAATATCCAGATAGGAAGGTAGTATGACCTACCAATTTTTTCCTACAAATAATGATAAAAGCGAAGAAGTAGGAGAGTAGGGGCAGGGACGATGAAAGAGAGAGAGGGGAAGGGGAGAGGGGAGGGAGAGCTTGACAGAGAGGAAGAGTAAACTTAAGAGGCGATGTGAAGTATGGTAAGAAGGAACGCAAGACAGAAGAGGAAAATGTACCTGCTGTATTTCCAACTTGGTGTGGTACGTGGTCATGTTACTTGATCCGTGCGACTTATCATAGGCCTTGGCAGCATCGGCGCATCTGTGGGTCGGAAAGTAATTCTTGTCATTAACTAATCATGGCTGGAGTATCTTGATTGAACTGAGCTTACGCCTTACACAAATTAAATCTATTTCTCACAGCAGTCACCGATTCACAGAATCAAGCACAAAGAAAATGTGATCACTATAGAGATACATGTATTTGGGTTATGAGGACATATGACAGGGAAAATTAGTAACATTTTTAGAAATTCTTTTGGCTCAAATAATGCCAAACATAGTTTTAGCTTTGATAATTCTTTGGCGTTATTGCTGAAAATACGAACAAGAAATTGGAAAGTGGAGCGACGTTAGTGATAGAAAGGAAAGGGTGAGGGGAAGGGGTAGCCTGCCAAGGGTATGTAGACATGTACAATATAGGCGTGAAGAGGGAGACATGTGAAGTGGCACGTTTACTCAACAACCCCTGTCATATTAGATGGCGCTTCAAGAGACCCTGGTGTTAAGCGTCATCGGATACTCTCGAACCTGAGTTGTTTGATGAGGTCTCACAGCAATCCACCCTCATGGCTCACCCAGGAAGGTTGCACGACTTGAACAATCTTACAAGGGCCGCAACCCCGTATTAATATTATTATATAACCTTAACTTATTCCCCTTTGACCATATGATTGACGATCTCTCTCTCTCTCTCTCTCTCTCTCTCTCTCTCTCTCTCTCTCTCTCTCTCTCTCTCTCATATATATATATATATATATATATATATATATATATATATATATATATATATATATATCACTCACACATACACTCACTTACTCCCCCCCCACCCACACAAACACAAACACACACACACACATACATAAATATTCACACACTCAAACACACACACACACACACACACACACACACACACACACCCACACTCACTCACACACTACCCACCCACACACAAACAAACAAAACACACACAAACACACACACACACATGCAAACACACACACACACACACACACACACACACACACACACACACACACACACACACACACCTACCCAGAGTACGGAGGTCCCAATCTCTCTGACAGGGAGTCACACCAGAGCATATAGTGCACGGTCAGAGCAGTCCCTCCAAACACAGAGACTAGACAAGCCATCAGGGTGAGCAGGAAATGAGTGAACACCGCACTGAGGAGATGAACAGGACACAGTTGTCATCTTAATAAGGAGTGAGCAGGCAACTACTTACTAAACATTGTGCGTTTGGACAATGTATCCCTCTGTAAAAACAAAATAAATGGCTTCCACTGTTCTAGTATCATACTGAATAGAGAGGATTATGTGAAATTTCACATGCTCAATGGCTGTCGTATGTCTATCAATCCATGTGCTATGATATATTTACAATAAAGGCTGAACGAAAGAAAAGATGCTTTCACAAGCACACCCTAGTGGAACTACTTGCCTGTAGATTTCCCGAAGTTCGAAGTTCTTGTTGCCCACAGAAGGACTAAAATTAGATCAAAACTAACCATTCAAAGGGCAACTTTGAGTCCCCACTGAGGTCATCTTTGTGGCTATGTACAGATGGACTTCATGCAGGTGGAGATCGACGTGGTATGGGTTCTTTTAACTCAAAGCAGTTATTAAAAAACGTGAGGACTCCTATATCGCCCACCTCCAGCAGCCATGAAAGCTCCTCAAACACTGCTCACCAAGGCAAAAGATATTCTGAGACGTCTCCGGTGAACACCCAGGAACTATTCGGAGACGCACTCCCGCACACAGATGCACTGCTTTGGGGGGTCAAACTGCGTATTATTTGATGCAGGTCACATATATAGCCACTAAAACATTCGCAAATCAATTTTTTTTTCAAACTTAATTGCAAAATATTAAAGAGCATGCCCCCTGTAGTCCCCGGATTTTTCCAACTTGGTCTAGAGGCACAAAGCATTTTGATTGGTCTATTTCCGTCGGAGCCGTCTCCGAATAGATACTGAGGCTCACCAAACCCTCTCAAACACAGGTGGCAAACTCAAGGCTCACGCGGCCCGGCGTATAGTTATATCCGGAACATGTGAGAATTGTAGGTAGTCCATCCTGACCTGAAATTCTCCACAACACAGAAACTGACTCCAAACATAAACGAACTTGATTCCCCCAAAAGATGTCAAACATCCAGCTCTAACAAAATGGTATATTACGAGAGAAACTCGAAACGCCGTGGGTTTTTTAAATTTTAACTTCTGTCGTCGTTGATGCATATCATTGTCATGAAAAAATTTACTTTTTCAGCACTCAATCAGTGCTTATCCACTTCAGCCTACAACCTCAAGTGTAATTTGAGTTTGGGTCCCAGGGCGACTGGGCTTGACACCCCAGGTGTAAAATTATGATTTTACACAATTGTAAGAGCTACAAAACCTTTAATCAACAAGAGAGGAATAGCACTATAATAACATTTATACTCTATATAATGCTTGCAAGTGTGATTAAATGTGGTGTATCTACCCTGCCTTTTCCTCCTTTTTTTTTTCTTTCCTTCTACCATTCCTTCTTTCCTCCTTTTTTTCTAATCTTCTTTCTTTTTTCCCCTTCTTTTATCCCCTGAAATTCCCTACTTCAATTGCCCCCCCCTCCCCCATTCTAATATCCCTCCTCAGTTCCTTTTTTTCGCTCCCTTCGTTCTGCCCTTCCTCCGTCCCTTCTTCTCCACCGTTTTCTTTTCTCTTTCTTTGTTAACACTGAGTCAAGAGCTACTCCTTTAAAGTACCTATCTCATCTGCGTCTGCTAGTGGGTCGCCGAAACTTACACTCGAACAACAACAAAACAAAAGAAACTTACAAAAGGCTTATCCCTGCAGATATTGAAAAGCAGCACGACAAAAGAACGAACAAAAGCCTACCATGAGTTCTCCCAGCAACAATTGATGGCTAGCGCCATGAGGAAGCTGATGCCACAGATGGCCGCAGCGCTGTAGAAGACAGAGTGGCACACGATCGGCAAGCCATGCCTCTGGGGACAGCAGGTAGGGTGTTGAGGGTGGTGAAACAAATTAGTGTTACATAAAGGAACAAAAAGTGAAGACAACGTTATTGGTCCCCATAAGAATACTTATTGATAAAAGTAAGCAGTAGCCCTCTCTCCATTCAAAACTTGCTTGATCTACTATTCCTACTCATATCCGCAGTCTCCACCATAAGTCATTCGTGGAAGACACTTTTAACTTATTTTAAAACTGGAGGGGGGAGGGGAGGAAGTCGAAATTTACTTTTGCTGACTTATATTACAACAACATGTATAATAGTGCAAAAATTACGAGGTAGTACTTCAAACAATAGCACGCCCTTGACTGACAGAACCTCTGCGCAGATGTCAGGATTTGAGCTAATGTTGGAGCATGTCTCACACGACAACACTCTCCAGTGGCCACCAATAATCAAAAAATTATCATAATTATATTATCGAATTTGCTTCCTGTCCCTTGGTAACTCGTGTTCACTAACAACTCAGGGCCACTGGGACCCAAGAGAAGGTGAAGAACGAATAAAACCTCGTTCTTGAGGCGGTTAGGGGGTTCTGGGGAAATGGCTTTAAATGTTACTTTGTCCTCTGCATTTTCTTCCGGGTAAGGTGCAAACGGAGACTTGAAACGATAAATTCATGTAGTCTACAGACATGTTCAGATGTGCTGGAGGGGGGGGGGTGACATGGCTAGACAAGGTTGATGTTGTTAATAACGTTAATGGCGAGAAGACGGGCAGACGGACGGAAGGACAGAAAGACGATGAGTGGATGGATGGATGGAGAGATAGATGGATGTAAACATGAATATTTGAATTGTATTGCAGAGTTGCAACCCACTCGTTGCTGAGACTATGGCTATAATACACACCTACCCTGTACAGAGAAGATAAAAATGTTCATTAAAGATAAATTGAAACAAAGCCACTATGATTTCGCTTTCATCGAATTAAAAAAAAAACTGCACAAGCGGGTAATTACATGTAGATATCAAGAAAACATTTCCCATGAATCAACATTTTTTAAAATTTTAGCGAACACGTTTTGGAGAACACAAAGGAGTAGGCCTGCATACGCCTACACAGTAGTGATGAGTTTTTCGGTGATATTTTTTTCTGTTACCCTTTTTCAGGGGGGGGGGGTAATTGCTTGTGTTTTTACGCCCCAATCGACACAATTTAGATCGTTTAAGGGGCGAGCTTCAACCATGCCGTTCGGGACCAAACCAGGCCGAGAGGGATACACCATCCCAGCATAATATACGCTCGTAGTCGGTAAAAATGTTCCCCACTCGGGAAGACAAAGTGAATCTCCGGCATGCAACGACGATGAGCCTAAACGCTCAACCACAGAGGTCGATGAAAGAATACTGAGTAGGTATTTAGCTAAACATTGTTATTGTTTATTGTATTGTTCATTTATATCATGCATTTGACTGTAAGCTTGTTTGTGTGTGGGGGCGTGTGTGTGTGTGGGGGGGGGCGTGTGTGTGTGTGTGTGTGTGTGTGTGTGTGTGTGTGTGTGTGTG